CTTTGGAGAATAGCTTGACACCCCCCTCCTCCTCTCTGGGGCAGCCCCTCAAATATTGGAAGATGCTTTCCTGTCTCCCCTGGTCCTTCTCTTCCCTCGACTAGCCAGGCCCAGTTCCTGCAACCGTCCATCCATCATCTGTTTGATCCTCCAGTCCCCTCATCATCCTGGTTGCTCTTCTCTGCCCTCTTTCTAGAGTCTCAGCATCTTTTTTATGGTAAGGGGACCAAAACTGGATGCAGGACTCTAGGTGTGGTCTTACTAAGGCTTTATAGAGTGATGTTAGGACCTCCCTTGATCTTATTGTATCCCTCTGTTAATGCAGTTTAGGATTGCATTAACAATTAACATTGTTACGTGAATTTTGCCTCCTTTACAACCTCTTGCCACAGTTCTTAATTGAATCACTACAGCTGTCACATGGTGGGAACAGAAGTTGCCTTTAGAAGTTGTGGGAGCTTCATCCCTGGAAGCTTTCAAAAAGAGACTGGTCAGAAATGGTGTCGGGTCTCCTGCTTGGGTGGGGGGTTGGACTAGATGACCTCCAAGGTCCCTTCCAACTCTGTTCATCTGTCTCAGCTTAACCGCAGAAGTTTTGCGCTCAATTGTGGTCGTTCTTTGAGGACTATCTGGACATCCATAAAGTCAATCCTGATGTGGCCGGCTGACCCGCTCCTGTGACTGAAGTGGAACCGTCCACCCTGAGTGTTTTTTCCTTTCCTCAAAATGACTAACCTGGGCAAAACTTTTGGAGTTTTCCTGTCGCAGAGACCTTTGGGAGGGGCGCACTTAAGTGCATGCATAGAATGTTTCGCCTCTTCCCCCCCCCCCCCCCTTTCTCTAGAAAGTCTCCGTGCCTCTCCCTCCCGGGCGCATATTTCCATCATTTGCAAATCTGTTTGAGAGCCAGGAGTGATTTCAGCACGGATTTCAACTCCTCCCGCCCTCTTCCAAGAAAGCTGCCTTGTGCAACCTTAGATTATTATTATTTTTTCTGTCCTTTTGCCTTCCTGGATTTGAGACAATAGAACTGTCTTTCTTCCTCTTTCGGCCCTCTGCTTTGGCGGAGCAGCAAGCCTTCCCCTCCAGAGGAAGTAAAGGTTTCTAGTCCTCAGGATTCAGAAGGAGAGGCAGAAGTTTGGGCAAATCCGGACAAGGATGGTGGCATTAGAAGGGCTTCCCCTGCTTGCTCAGGGTATGGAATTTGCAAGCGGTGGCTAAATTAAACCTCTTTGCCTAGAAGGGCAAAGAATATCTGCATTTGCGGCCGAGTGGAAATCCCATAATAGACTTTTTGCATAAAATGGAAAAAATGTACTTACGATTTGTGGTTTTGACGATTAGGGGAAAATATGGAGAAAACAGAGAGCTCTTTTTTCTAATCCAAGACTAGGGGAAGAGGTATTTTTGAAATTGTACTTGGATTTGCGGCAATGGAAATCCCAAACTTGCTTCCTTTTCCTTCCTTCCTTTTTTCCTCCTTCCCTTCCTTTTTTCCTTTCTTCCTTCCAACAGGTGGCTTTCCAATCTCTTCTTAAAAGTGATTAATCACCCATGATTTCCACTGGTTCATTGTCCTCACTGTTAGGAAGTTTCTCCTTAATTCCAAGTGTCTCTTCTCCTTGATTAGTTTCCATCCGTTGCTTCTTGTCCTGCCTTCTGGTTCTTCAGAGAATAATTTGACCCCCTCCTCTTCTTTGCCCCTCAAATATTGGAACACTGCTGTCGTGTCACCCCCATAAGATCTTATGTTCTCAACCTCTCCGTTAACCACCTTGGCTGCCTACTTTTGAAACAGGCATTGGAGGCTGTAGAACATAGAATATCAGATCTGGAAGGAACCTTGGAGATCTTCTAGTCCAACCCCCAGCCAAGCAGGAGACCCTGCACCATTTCTGACAGAGGGCAGTCCAGTCTCNTGGACTAGAAGACCTCCAAGGTCTCTTCCAACTGCCTGGGGGGGGGCGGGCAGGCGGGGGGGGATTGTAGTTTCCCATGTCGGGTAGTGGATGAAATGTATCACCGGCCAAGGACTCGCTTGGATAAAAATAGTTGCCCGTTCTCAAATGCTTTTCCTTCCTTGACGGATCCCGGGCACTCTCCTCACCCTGGGGGAAGCCTTTCCCACCCCAAATTCTCCATCTGCCCCGGTTTGGGACTCCGAGCGCTGCATTCCTCTCTGCGGGAACGCAGGATGGAAAGTTTCCTGGCTGAGGCGAAATCCCCCCGGCGTACCCAGCCGGAGTGGGCAGGAAACGCTGCGATCCATGATAAGGCCCGGCTTGACCCCGGCGGGCGAGGAATCACAGGGGTGGCGCCCAGCGAAATCCAGCACTGGAGATTTGGCTCTGGCTTTGGAGGCCACAATTAGACAGGCTACCCCTCTGCTCTCCAGGGCTCAGTGCCACAGTTCTTAGGTAATAATCCAGTGAGTTTTGGATACCAAATATCCTCCTTGAGAGAAGGATCTTGAGTCTCACTGGACAACCAAATAAATATGAGCCAGCCGTATGCGGCAGCAGCCAAAAAAGCCAGTGCAATCCCAAATTGCATTGACAGGGGGATAAAATCAACCTCAAGGAAGGTATTAATGCCACTTTGTAAAGCCTTAGTAAGGCCACACCTAGAGTCTGTAAGGATCTCCTGCTTGAGCAAAGGGGCTGGACTAGAAGACCAATTTTGGTCACCACATTATAAAAGAGAGGTTGAGACTCTAGAAAGGGTGCAGAGAAGAGCAACCAGGATGATGAGGGGACTGGAGGCTCAAACAGACGAACGGTTGCAGGAACTGGGCCTGGCTGGTCTAGGGAAGAGAAGGACCANCAACTTGAAGATGTCTGGACTTCAACTCCCAGAATTCCCCAGCCAGCTAATGCATTCGCTGGCTGGGGAATTCTGGGAGTTGAAGTCCAGACATCTTCAAGTTGACAAGGTTGAGAAACACTGACATAGGAGAACAAACCCATCCATTATTGGACTCGATCCAATAATCCATCTGGATTTAAAAGGCAAAGCCCACTCTTTTGAAGACCACCCAGTTCCATATTTTGGACAGAATGGACTGCTGGTTTGAAAGGGGTCAAGGAAACCATCTATGTCAAAATTGAACGGCCCTCCCTCAACAGAGGGGGGAGGGATACAACACCATCCATCTCCAGTCTACAACACAGCCCTTTCAGCAGTTCCAAGAAGCCCCCACACCCATTTTCACCTTGACCCCACAGATAAACCTCCAAGCGGCCTCAACGGCTTCCTAGAAGAACGCAACTGCTGTCTGCGAGGAGGACACATCCTTCCATCGCCCCCCAACATCCAGTCAGAGCTGAAGAAGCTTCTTGGATGAGAAGCAAAACATCTTCGGAGAAAAAACACTTGCCTCTTGGGGGGGGCACTGGTCATCTAAGGTTTTGAGGGGTCAAAATGGGAAGGTTTGGGGTTTTCCCACCCCTGAAGTCTCCTTTTAATAGATGAGTCAATCCCCTAAGTTTTGCGTGGAGGAGAATGACCAGTTCAAGCAGGAAGGCAAAAACGGTCACCCGGGCAGCCCCATTTCTGCCCCCTGCTCGGACCAGCCTCCTCCTAATCCTGTCCCTTCCCTTCTTTGCAGATTTATGTGTGCGCAGCTCCCAAATCCCGTCCTGGACAGCATCAGCATCATTGACACGCCGGGCATCCTCTCCGGGGAGAAGCAGCGGATAAGCAGAGGTGAGAATTCAGAAGAAGAAGTTGTGTTGAAGGGTTAAGTTCCTGGGTCTCCGTTTTGCAGGACCTCTTCTAACCCCCACCCCCCCCACCCCCAAGAAAGAAAAAATAAATAAATTATAGGTTTTGAACAGAGGTTGTCCCGTATTTAGTGACAGCCCACTTACGGCCATTCAGAGTTGCATCGCTGGAAAAAAAAAATGACTTGCGGACATTTTTCACACAACCGTTGCAGCTTTTTCCCCTCGGTGACGTGAGCAATATTCGCATGTTTGGGAACTGGCTCATATTTATGACGGTGGCTGTGTCGTGGTCATGTGATTTGGCCGCCTCCTGACGAGCAAAGTCGTTGGGAAGCCAACGCAACTTAGGAACTGCGTTCCTGTTCTGAGCGAGGCTTCCCAAAATCACAAAGCAGACTCCTTGTCCCGCCAAAAACCTCCTCCTTATGGAGCTCATGTGAATTCCTCTCCTTCACATCCACCGGCAAACGGTCTTCCAGGGGTGAATTCACAACCACAGACCTTGATCAGGTTTGGAGAGCTGCCAGGCCGATATCTTCCAAACTCCACGCTGTAGCAGCAATTCCTTGGCAAGAAGCCAGGAACAGATCTTTAATCTGATGAATTGAACTAATGGTCTCCTGCAAACTCCACTCCCCTTTTGCTCCTCTTATTCTATCTGGGAGGGGCCATTCATCGTCCACCTGCAGCCTTACTCCCAATCGACCCCTGTTCTTTAGCTGCTCCCTTCGTCTCGCAGCTCTGTGCATGCGCATACTGGGAACAGGCTCCAGCTGTTCTTCTGCCCCACTGATGTCTGACTCCGAAGGCAGCTGATAACTGTCAGACGGCTCTGGCGCCCTCTCTGCCTCCGACACAGAGGCCTCACCAGAGCCTTCCCCAGACTCCAGGACTGGCCCAGGTTCCTCCCCAGCCTCCTCACTGTCCGAATCTGCCATCAGCTCCACTGGTGGGCCACAACAGTTATTAATTTAACAACCGCAGTGATTCACTTGAACGTGGCAAGAAAGATCGTAACACAGAGCAAAACTCACTTAACAAGTGTCTCGCTTAGCAACATGAATATTGGGCTCCATTGCGGTCATAGGAGAGGACACCACTGCCCTGTACTATTTCAGACAAATTGGATGTCCAGTCTCTTCTTGAAAACCTCCAGTGATGGGGGTCGGGGGGGCACAACTTCTGGAGGCAAGCCGTTCCACTGATGAATTGAAGTGGGATTATAGAATAAGTTGGAAGGGACCTTAGAGGTCTTCTACTCCAACCCCCGGCCCACTACCATTCCAGACAAGTGACCTTCCAATCTCTCTTGAGAAGCCTCCAGTATTGGGAGCACCCCCCACTTCTGGAAGCAAGTTGTTCCACTGAATAATTAATTGGTCTGAGGTCTCCTGTTTGACTAGAAGACCTCCAAGCTCCCTTCCAACTCTGTTATTCTGCTGTAAGGGTCTCCTGCTTGAGCACAGGGCTGGACTAGAAGACCTCCAAGGTCCCTTCCAGCTCTGTTATTCTGTAAGGGTCTCCTGCTTGAGTAAAGGGGCTGGACTAGAAGACCTCCAAGCTCCCTTCCAACTCTGTTATTCTGCTGTAAGGGTCTCCTGCTTGAGCACAGGGCTGGACTAGAAGACCTCCAAGGTCCCTTCCAGCTCTGTTATTCTGTAAGGGTCTCCTGCTTGAGCAAGGGGGCTGGACTAGAAGACTTCTAAGGTCCCTTCCAACTCTGTTATTCTGTAAGGATCTCCTGCTTGAGTAAAGGGGCTGGACTAGAAGACCACCAAGGTCCCTTCCAACTCTGTTATTCTGTAAGGGTCTCCTGCTTGAGTAAAGGGGCTGGACTAGAAGACCACCAAGGTCCCTTCCAACTCTGTTATTCTGTAAGGATCTCCTGATTGAGTAAAGGGGCTGGACTAGAAGACCTCCAAGGTCCTTTCCAACTCTGTTATTCTGTAAGGATCTCCTGCTTGAGCAAGGGGGCTGGACTAGAAGACCACCAAGGTCCCTTCCAACTGTTATTCTGTAAGGGTCTCCTGCTTGAGTAAAGGGGCTGGACTAGAAGACCTCCAAGGTCCCTTCCAACTCTGTTATTCTGTAAGGATCTCCTGCTTGAGCAAGGGGGCTGGACTAGAAGACCACCAAGGTCCCTTCCAACTGTTATTCTGTAAGGATCTCCTGCTTGAGCAAGGGGGCTG